CCGTCAGCCGTTATTCCATTCCCGAGGTAAACAAGCTTTCAACTACTTCCAGGGTGTCATGAAACAACGAAAGTGTAGGAACGGCTTCCCGCAAATCTGGAAACAACACTTTACTCTTGGCAGTTGCAAAGGACATAGCATAACGGATAGTCTCAATTGCCAAAAGGTTTAAAGACTCTTGAATCGTTGGTACATTGCCATCCAGTAAGGCAATATCATCGGCATACTCTAAGTCTACGACTCTGTCTCCAGGAAGAACCATCACACCAGCGTTCGTCACGTTATATAATGCGATTTGTAGAACATCGTATATGGCAAAGTTGAAGAGAGACAGAGAGATGGGGCAACCCTGTCGTACCCCAATGGTGATAGGAAATGAGGATGAAAGTTCACCATAGGCCCTAACCTTCTCCAAGGTCTGACGGTAGAATGCTTTTAGAAGCAGAACATGCTTTTCGGGTACTCGGTATCTCTGCAAACAGTTCCACAGTGCGGGGCGACAGATGGAGCCAAAGGCCGCTCGAATGTCTAAAAACGCGACAATGGTTTGTCGTTTGTATGTGTGGCAATATTCCAGTAGCTGACAACGAAGGGTGAAGATTTGACCTATGCAACCACAGCGTACACGAAACCCAGCCTTCTCCTCACGGATTTACTTTCCTCGAAATGAACTCAGCGTGTCATAAAACGCATACCAGTAGCTTTAGACTTGCACCACCGTGGTTGGAACAAGCGTTGCGACAGTCCTTCTTGAAGACGGATGTAACAATCGATTCTCTCCGTGTGTGGGGTACACTTTCGGGTTCTCAGAACTTCCAGAACACTCTCACAAGCTCTTTCCTGAGGGCTTCTCCATCATCCGCCTCGAAACACATTTTGACGCTACATCTCAGCCAACTAGGAAGGTTTCCGTGATTTCCTAGTTTTTATCTAATCTTTTTAATCCGCGCCCGGCGTTTCTACACCCTAGCTCATTCTCTTCTACTGTGCAAAGGTCAAATCCGCATTGTTCTTGAATACTACAGCCATGTGTGGGGTGAGTTTTGTCTTCTCTTTCCCTTCTTAATCGTGTTTAACGAAAGCTTGATCGATGATCCTTCTCTAACATCCAGCACATTGTTGATCAGTTGCTTCATTGTTCCTGATCTACCATTACCACTTCGGTTTTTGTTCTTCGCAACCTGCCTCGGTAGTGCTCTTTACTCAGTCATCCCATGCAGGGACACCTAGTCATTCTTATCTGATCTCAGTTCCCCGATATTGTACTTCTCTGCTCCAATCTCGATTTTTCCCGTGAGCTGACGAGTTGTGCAATGCTTTCCCACTTTTTGTCTTTCCTTCAATCTACAACCACACACACACACACACACACACACACACACACACACACACAGAGAGAGAGAGCTTTTAAAAGCTGAATGAATAAGCTAGACGTTACGTGAAAATTTCCCCGCTTACAGTATACTTTTGCCGATAGGGATTTCCATTTTTCCTGTATGCCACATCATGTGTAGTAGTAGAAAAAAAAGAGAATTCAGAAAACAAGCACAAAATGGTGGTGGCTCGAACCGCCGAGACTAACCCAGATAGGAAGTGAACCAGCTTTCCACACGTGCTTCTGTAATCCACTCGGACAATCGCAAGCGTTCCGGTCCCAGAGCTAACAAGGCAGTACATACAGTTTGCACGTGACCATATTCCACCTGAGAAGCGAAATGAAAGTGTATCAGAAACGGTGAGAGCAGTATTCACAGAACATCACAGAACGTGAGAAGCAAGAGCACACATGAACCAAGTGTATGATTATGGGAACCGGCAGATTTCAGACTTGTAACTCAGAGTGGATAAGCGAGCTACATCGAGAACAAGAGGCAAAGCTACCAGTCGCTCAAGTTGGCTGGTACAATTCGAAACTTGGACCTCAAAGTTCGGAGAACGACAGGAGATTCAATCGTTCAACCAGCTTGCTCAGTGACATTTTGTAACAAACCGGACAATCAGAAGGCTTAAATGCTTCTCTTATTATCAGGCTGGTAGGACACATTCCGGGTAATGCAGTTATCGAGACTGTACTCCAGTGTGTTGAAACCGGGGGCGCGGAGGGGGGGGGGCAGAGGAGGAGGAGGGACGGTAACTGGGCAACACATACCAAATCGTAGAACCACTGTGCCACTAGTGGGGTGGCATCAGGCATATGCGGTGTGATCACAGTGTTGAACAGAGTCGGATCATGCCCATGACGCATCATGTCCATGGAAGGATTGAATGGGGCCAAAAACTGGACCGAGTTGGACTGCATGCTGGATTCACCGTGTATCATTGTTGTGGCTTCTTCTAACGGTCCACCATCCTCGCCCAGACGATGCGTTTCAAGAAGGCTACACACACACAGAACGGTATTGTGAACAAAGAAAAGAACGGAGGGGGAGGGGGTTAACGAAAGTCACAGTGAACAGACACAACAAACTATGGCATGTGTTGCGAAACGAACATTCAGTTTTTTTAATGTTATACAAGTTCGTTTTTACTAGAATTGATGCGATCTGGAAACCATAAAACGGGTTTGGCATCTTTCACAGACTGAAAACCGCACGAAGGAAGAAATGGGGGCCACGAGTAAATAGTAATAATAATGAAAGTGAAGATTCAATGGCAGTCTTGACAACTGCAACCACCTCATTAACTTTTGAACTCCAAAAAATACTGTCCTACAGTTCATCTATTTTTAAAGCTCTTTATGATTCCGCGTACGACGACCCAATCTCGGTTTTTGCTTACTCCGTTTGGAATCGTTACAAGACAAGAAATAGGGGTCGAGGTCACCATGATAATCATCGTGCTAGCTTGCGGGGTTTCATCAACAGAATGATGATTCCGTTCATTTTTTTTTTCAAGTAAAATACGCTCGCCAATGGAGAAAAACCAGTGATATTCATGAATCTGGTATATCAGAAATAAGCAAAATTGTAGGAGTCAAATTTACTCCAGGAAATTCGGTTCCACTTGAACACTGAGAACAATGTTGTGGCAGTGGACGGTTTCGATTTTTTTCAGGGGCGACTGAATTGCGAATTTCCGCAACAGATCTGACGGAGTGGTGATCCCTTTCGTCGACCGAAGTTGGTGCAACAACACTTAGCTAGTGTTTTATTTCGCACTCGACAAAACTAGTGGTACTTTCGTTCGCCGCGAACCCCGCCTTCTCAGCAGATTTCGGTTTATTTACTTTGTGAATATATATATATATGTATATATATCGCCTCTGATACATCCGCCCTTGACGTAACACTGTTTGCTGATACTATAGTAATACAATTCGCTCCTTATGTTGGTCAGCCTGTGTGCATTACCGCCGGAGACTTGAATTACTTTGATACTTCTTTCCCAGTTACTCCTGGTTTAGTGAACCCGGTAAATCCACCCATCTGAACAAGCGCTTATTTCGATGGTATATATGTAAATATTCCCAATCTGTTTCATGTGTTTGAAACGAGCTTCAATTAGCATTTCTAACCGCTGTGTCATTCTTCTTCATCCGAATTATATACTATATACTATACTATATTATATATTATATACTGTGAAAATAACCATTACCTTCATACCCGGACGCCTCTCATACTCTACGGAAAACAAAGTGTTCTTCTGACAACTTGTCCGAATCTGGTATTTAGTTTGTTCTACCGACTTTTCTCACCTTTCCAATAACCAGCTCTCGTGGTCTTGCAAACATCCTATTGATTATCTTAATTTTTGCTATGATCCATATTATTTTTTGTCGAAACTATTTGTATTCGAACGGATAGATTTTCCTCGCCCCTTTGTTGAACGACTCCGTCGTGCTGAAGAGAAACGACTTACGGGACCGATAGCCCAGGCGTAAGTGTTAAATAACTGTCTGTTCTGATTAGAACTGAGGTAAGACATCTGTACAGAATTTACGTTGAGATTGTTTTTTGCGTAATAAAAGCTGTCGTGAAATGTGGACGCTACCGTGAAAAAATCTGTGGCCCACGTATCAAATCTTGTCCCAATATTGAAGTACTAAATTGTCACAGCGCGCTTCTGTACCTCTGCCTCAACCGTTCTCTCAATTCTTGCTCCAACTCATGATGAGGTTCTTCAAATCTTGAGGGAACCCAAGGACAACAAAGGTCACGGTCTCAGTCGATTAGCACCTCATTAGTTAAAACCATGCACGAGTCAGGTTGTAACATCTACGGCTGAATTGTTTAGTATGTTTCGGAACACTCCCCCATTGTTGAATTTAAGTTTCCGTTTGTACAACCATTAACCACGCATATTCGTGCGCCGGTTTTGGTTGCTGTCTTTTGGCTGCTCATTTGGATAAACATCAGGAGAAAAGCAGAAAAGTTGAAGGTAGAATCAAAGAGAAAATTTAGGATTTCGATGGACTAATGTTGCACAGAAATTGAGAAGATGCACGAACGCCACTGTCTACGTCACCCAGCCATATCATTCAGTGTCTCCAACCATCGGGTACGATCATCCCGAGGTCCCCAGCCACGGATCCTCAAGGGACCTATATCACCCAAACTCCTAGGTAGGGTTGTTATACCCTTATGCCAGGTCTTAGCTTGACCGCCCTTAGCTTTTTTCCACTCGGTGTCTGCTTCGGCGAACATCGCTCGCCGTGGTAACCTGTCTGGTGACATGCGTAACACATATCCCAACCTACGTAATCTATGGAGGTCGATCACTTACTCCAGTGGGCGACC